CTTTGCTGCACCGCCGGTGACTTGTCTAAACTCTACGACGTCACACACTGCCAAGCCTGCACTGAACAGCAGTGTCTCCAAGCTTCTGTGCTCCAAGACTTGTCCTTTCGGTCCTCCTTGCTGCGCCCTAAAGCACTTGCTGTCATGGCCGCGAACTTGTTCGACGATGCCATCCGCCAGGTCAATGAGCAAAAACTCAACCATCGCATGCTGCGCAACGCCACTTGCTACAGGAACGAGTGCTCGGAGCACATTTCCATGCAGGACTTTCTGGCTGCTGCGTGTCGGCCTTTGGATGGACTCAAATCCATTGCCATCTTGTTTGATGTTCACTACGGCATCCCCGAGTGTGGCCATGCCTTTACCCTCGGTGACATTGTTGCCCAAACTAAATTTCAGTGAGCTTCCACCTCAGCTTCGTTTTCGGGGCGATGTGCCGCCAGATGCCAACGTGGACCTCATTGTGTGCAACTTGGGGGATGGATGCTTGGATGTCATGAAAGTAGTCTACTTCAAGCAGCCTGTGTCTCGCCAGGCAGCCCAGGACTTATGTGGAGGCAAAGGTTTCGCGCCGTTGTTTAGGCAAGGTCCATGGGCTGTCAAGAAGGCCGTGCAATGGCTCCTGAACCAGGTCAACGGCTTCCACGTCCGATGGCACGTCTTGGGGCCACCCAAGGAGCCCCTCAAGCGATCTCAGACCAAGGACACATGCAATCCAGACAACGATGATCTCGAAGAAGGCATCGAGTTTATCAACAAGAACGCCCCAGAGTGTGATTCTCGAAATCAGCAGACATTGTGGATTATGAAGTCCATCAAGGGTGATTCCGGCACGCCCATTGCTGGTTGGCCCGAAGCCAAGGTGCGCTTCATGGCTCAAAACAAAAGTCGCGGCCTTGGCGGTGCTCAGCCGATGACTGATTTCCCGTTGACGACTTTTAGTCTGCATCCCGCCATGTACACCCATGTTCAACCTTATGCGTATCCTTTGCTCACGACAACCGCGGTCATGATGCTCGGGAACCCAGGCGTTGGCAAGACGCCAGCGCTCCTCACCATGGCGATGGCGATGGGGCGGTACCATATCCGGCGACTCGGCTTGTCTGGTGTCAAACCCGGGTGACGTCGGGCAAAGTCTCTGGACAATTCCCGCCATCGGGTCCCACAAGTCTATGAGGCCATCTTTTTGGACGACCCAACCCGGTCCAAGGTGGACATTGCAGACCTAAAAGTTTCGTCACGGTCGTTGAGGATGGCACGGTGGAGAGTCGCTACAACGACACGCGCCTAGCTCGCAATCAGATGCGTGCCGTCGCATCCAATGACACGGCCAAGGATCCTGCCATTGACTCGCCTGACGATTCCCGCATTGACTCGGAGAAATTCTTCGCGTTGGTCGAGCCCCTCTTCCAGGGTGATCATGCTAAAGACGTGATGGCCATTATGAAAAGGACAACTATCTTTGTCTTTACAGAGACGGCCGTGTTCCTCCGCTTGCCGGGTGAGAAGCGCGAGGCCACAGTGCATCGCATAGTGGCAGATGACCTACACCGCGATCTACTTTCGCCAAGAGAAAAGCACCTGCTTGCACAGTTCAAGATTGGACATTCCATTCAGGGGAGTTCTTTGCCGACGATGTCGACCGGGAGCAGGCCATGATCGACTCCGCCATGGCCGACTTCCAGACTTTCCACATCAAGGACGATTACATCAACCACGTCAACATGCAGCTCCAGATGTGGCTGACCCCCATGGCTGACCCCCAAGCCCAAGGTCCGCATCCTTCCTCCTTCGCCAGAGTCGCCAGACACTCCTCCTGATGCTGAGCCTTCGCGCTCTCGTTTTGGTCTGCCACCAGTGTTTCCCGCCATCGGCACGGCTCCGAAGCGGGGTCGTATTGGTTCCTTCGACTTCAACAACAAGCAACGCCGTATCCGAGGCAAAACCAACGTTGACTCCGAGAACTACATCACCGGAGCACAACTCGAAGAGGGGACGAACCCAGACAACGGAGAGACTCAGGACGCCTTCACGCCGGACGTTGCGCCCTGGAATGCGGCCTCATCAAGCACGACCCCTCCGAGTCCGCCAGGACCAGGAGACGCCATGGACATTGCGGAAGACGCCGCTGACGAGGCAGAGGCAAAGAACATGTTTGACTGAGCCGAGCACCTGGGTTTAGCTTGTGATTTTAGACTCGCTGTATGATGGGCATGAAAGACATCCGAGAAAGCTTGCGCCAAATTGTCGTGACCAAGGCTCGGTAACATGTCAAATGCCACTCGCAGCTTTGTGAGATCAGTCAAGTCTTGTTGTAGCCTCCGTCGCAGCCATGGTGAAGCGCTTCAACCCCTTTCCTGACCCTAAGAAAGGCAAAGGAAGGATGATTTTGAAGAAGCCCGCAGGGATCAAGACGGCATCGTGGTTCAAGGTCCCTTACCAACGCCACAATGAAGGAGGGGGTGTTCTTCGCAGGGACCAGACAAAATGGCATCGCACCATCCAGCAGCTCCTGACGGCAACGGACACCCAAATCTTGGACATCCTTATGAAGGACAAGTTCCTGCCAAATTGGGAGGGATGTCTTTGTCCGTTCTGCAACAAGGGCGTCCTGGGACCAATGTCTACGAGATCTCAGAGAGAGACCAAGGCTTACAGGTGCAACAAGAAGAATTGCCAGAAGTTTGTGTATCCGATTCATCTGCACCCTATCTTCAATCTGGTTCGTGGTCCCGAAGGGCACAGTCTCCAAGTACAAGCTGCTGCACTTCTTCTTCGACTGGCTGGAGTTTCGCTTGCCACCATCCACCTGCTCACCAACATCAACCACAAAGCAGTCGAGAGGATGAACCACAATCTCAACCTCGTCCGCAACGGTCACGTCACAAACGTTGAGAGAAACATCACATTTGGTGGAGCTCCCAAGGCCTGGAAAGACGTTGAAGTGGATGAGGCCTGCTTCGACAAGCGGACCCTGAAGCCTTGGGAGCAATCGGAGGAGGACGCCAAGCAAGGGAAGAACACGATATGGGAACAATGGGGAGGCATGGTGCAGCGTGGCAACCCGAAAAGCTTGATGCTGTTCAAGCTTCGTCCTGCCACCACAGTGCCGCGAGCACCGGGACCGGGTGCGATTCGCAAGGTGGATTGGACTCCTGTTGCCCAGAAGTGGCTGAAAAACAGGCGTGTCATCTTGCATTCGGATTCGGCCCGGTCATACCGTAGCAAGGTGGAGAGTATGCCGCACGATGCCGTGGTCCACAAAAAGCGGCGGGTCAAGAGAGGCGGCAAGTGGGTATGGGTCAGGCCGGTGTACGTCAAGCTGTTCACCCACAAGCTCAAGGACGGCACAGTGATCAAGACTAAGGGGGGAACCCAAATTATCGATCGGGCGTGGCGCTTCATAAAGGAGCGCCTCCGCCTCAATCAGCATGGTAAAGCCTCCTCCAAACAGCTGGCAGCCCAGATCCGCAGTGCCCAATATGAAAATTGGCACCGCAACGACGATCTGTGGCTCTGCACAGGCCAGCTGTTGGAGGAGTACATGCGTGGCATCGTCAGCAAGCCTGGGTGCTGAACAAGCGTCATCATGGCTGCTAGGGCCCTTCCTTCAATCATTTTAAGCACAGCGAACATTACGACCGTCCAACACTCGCCTCGCACCCGCAACCTCCTTACTGCTGCAAAAAAAGGACTCTGCTGTCGTGTCTGCTTCATGCATTGCTCACGTGATGCAATCCCAACAAATCTTCATGTCTTCTGCATCCGGCTTTCAAACTCAAACACACGAAAACGGTAGATCCATGAGGGGGGGTAGCATACATATATATGTATGTATGTGTATGTATATATATATATATATATATATATATATCTACATATATATATATATATATATATATACTATATATACTATACATACTATATTTACTATTATACTATATATACTATGTATACTATATATACTATATATATTATAATACTATATATACTATATATACTATATATACTATATATACTATGTGTACTACATATACTATATATACTATACATACTATATATATAAACTATATATACTATATATATATATATATAATATATATACTATATATACTATATATACTATATATACTATATATACTATATATGCTATATATATATATACTATATATACTATATATATATACGAGATATATATATATACTATATATACTATATATACTGTATATACTATATATACTATATATACTATATAAACTATGTGTACTACATATACTACATATACTATATATACTATGTATACTATAGATACTATATATACTATATATAATATTATACTTTATATATACTATATATACTGATATACTACATACACTATATATTCTGTATATATATATATATATATATATATACTCTGTATATATATATATACTATAAATATTAAATATACTATATATACTGTATATAGTATACATACTATATATACTACATGTACTATGTATACTACATATATAGATATATATATATATATATATATATATATATATACACACACCATATTTACTTTATATACTGACATACTACCGTCCTTCCTTTCTTGCTTCTTTCTTTCCTTCCTTGCTCCCTTCCTTCCTTCCTTCCTTCCTTCCTTTCCTCCCTCCTTGCTTTGTTTCTTGCCTTTCTTCCTTCGATCCTTCTTCCTTGCTTCCTTGCTTCCTTTCCTTCCTTCCTTCCTTGTCTCCTTGCTTTTCCTTCCTTACTTCTTCCTTCCTTCTCTCCCTTGTTCTTGCTTCCTTCCTTCCTCCTTCCTCGTTTCCTTGCTTTCTTCCCTCCCTGTGTAAATAACAGGAAGCGGGGGCAAAAAAAAAGAGGGCCCCAAAAAAAAAAGGCCCCCAAAAAATAGGTTCCCCGTCAAGCCTTCACAGAGTCATGGTCTCGAATGGTACGAACCCCGAAATGTTGAGTGAGTGATGACTGGTACGCACATGCAGCAGCATGCCCTACACGACCGAGAAGATCTGTAGCGGAGTTGATGGCGGGATTTGTTTGCTGCTGTGGCCTGGGCGCAGCATCTGCACGCAAGCCGCGAGAAATGGCAGGACAAGGGCACATCGAGCGATCAGCAGGCTGCCCAAGTGGAAGCCCACCGCTGCCACGGACAAGCCTTGTGCAATTGCAGCGGAGTGGGAGGCGGATACATAAACATATGGTAGTGATGATAATATAGTACAATACATTATGGTATGTTTTAGATTATTGTACAGAATAGTTTTTTGCAGTATACTATATTATACTATATAATCGTATGTTATAGTATATGATAGTATATTACGTTGTATCATAGTACATTCGAGTATATTTCGAGTATGTTATGACATGTTATAAAATGTATTTTGTATTCTATGTATCATAATACATCATAGTATATTATAGCATGTTACAGTATATTACAGTGTATTATCGTGAAATATGGACATGCATGAACTTTAGCAAGACGCAGCGCCACGGCTGCCGGCAAGCGCAACTAATCCGCTTTGGCCAAGATGCAATTAAAGCAGCCGCTTTGTAGATCATTCACCTGTGAGGGGACATCCTTGAATTCTACGCTACGCGTTCTTACAGACAGTGACAGGTCAAATACAAAGCTGAATGCAAAGAAAAACCATTTGTGGAAGAAAAACCCTGCACCCAGAAACAGAAACTGGACTAGAACCTTTTGCGGAGCAGGGAAGAACGTTTCTTGCTTCCCCTCCCAAACGCCCAAGCTACGAAGCCAGCAGCTGCAAGATTTCGATGTCCCAACAAGCGAAAATTCAACCCATTGGACAAGGAACCCTGCAACTGTACGAGCACAGGGTTATCTGCTCTTTTTGAGGTTGCCCATGGAAGCCAGTGTCCCGTCCAAGCTCTGACGAAAGACAACCCCCAAAGTGCCTGACGTTGCCGATACGGTTTCTGGGCACCAAGGAGGATTGCCATGCCAATGGTGATGAAAAGTGTCACCAGCAAGGATTTCACGGAAACCTCATTTGAGTCATCTGCGTCCGGGAAATACCCTTCACGGTTCAGGTCTTTCGTATCCATACTACTCGGTGAAGGCAATGCAGGTGTAGCACCTTGGAAACCTGGTGATTGCAAGACTGTGCTCAACGCCAGCAAAGTCCCTTCTGAATTGGTAAACGCATGCAAGCTTGCTTGGAAATACAACAACCTCTTCATGCTTCGGATGTTGGAATCTTGGTGTCTCCAGTCTCGGGAGCGTGCTGTGTCTACCCAAACTCCGTGGCTTGAGGCATTTATGACTTGGACGATGCTTTAACTCGCTGCAAACCTGTGTATGGTGGTCTGCCGATGGGCTGAATGTGTGCTGCAGCATGCTGTCGGCATTATTTGCGAAAGGTGCTCGAGGAAACCGTGACATCATCGGATTTTGCAGTCTTGACTTCACAGCAACCTGTTGGTCTGCTGTTTCTCCAGTGACTGAGCGGCAGGGATGTGAGAGGTGCGACCAAGCTCTACTAAAGCCGTAAGATGCAAGTTGTCCTCATGAGGGAGAATAGTAGCAGCTTCGTAACCGTGAGCAGACTGTTTTGTGGGAAACATCGAGAGCAGCGCGCCCTAATTGGATTCGCTGTGGTCGGCCGCTCGCCGATTTCATGCACCCGAGCTTGAAAAGTGAGCAAGGCACTGTATTGGCCATGGCCTTCTCGACTCTTATGCCGTGTGACTTGGGTGACTCCTTGGACAATCTAGCTTTGTGAACGCGACTGAGTAGCTAGCTCAGAAGCTTGGCCCTGCCTTTGATGAGCAGTGACATACAGAAGCTTCCCTTGTCTGTAATCATTCCGGCTCTAGAGTGGCTCGAAATCACTAACGCAGCAGCGCTGGGTTGTTCAACCAGCAGGACATCACCAATCCTAGCAACCCATACATTCTTGCATGGCGGCAGACCAGCCTGCCTTTGCTCAAATATGCATGTTTTAATCAGAATAGATGTTCATATGCAGGGATGACTGTCATGCATGGGCAAGAACCGTTGTCACGAACTCCCACGAGAGGACTGGAAAGACCGTGCATCTTGCTGTTTCGCTGCCGTGTCACGGTAGTGACCAGAGCAACAGCAACCACTTTGAGTGAAGCTTCCACCCAGACATCCTCACACGCAGCCTGTAGTCTGGACAAGGCAGAAAGGCTCACATCATCAATTGCCACACAACGGCGGCACTCCCAATTCCAAGGGTCTGCTTGGGATGTGTGCTCAAATACCAGGGCTCGGAAAGTGCAGCCAAGGAGCGTACTTGAAGAAGATTGTTTTGGCACCAGCCAAAATCCCTCAGATGCATGGATCATCTGAGAGCCCCCGGCTAGTTCAAGCTGCATGGAGGTTGCTTCTCCTGCCTAGCAAACACTACCTTCGATTCGCCATTCCATAGCTTCCTGGGCTCTGTCCGAGTCAGCTTGTGCTTCGAGCATCTCGCGCTCCGCAAGCATCCTGACACAGCTGGCCCGAGAATTGCTTGCAGCGGCATGCGTGGAATGTTGCCCTACACTTGTCCAGAGGTGGCTGGCACAACCCTTGACCAGAAGCCGTGCAAGACACCAGGGGGGGAACATTTTGGAGATCTGCTGGTGGGCTTTATACAAGAAGAGCCCCTCTTCTGCCGCCTTGCTATGCAGGCCGTAGTGTTCAGTTGTTCGGCTCCAATTATGGCCTCACACAGCCTGGCAAACGGGAACAGTACGCACAGAGCCGCAGCCTGGTAATACTTTGGCACCGACGCATTGCAATGTCAATCTTGTGCTCTTTTGTGGAGATGGTCGACAAAACGGTCGTCAAGGCCGTCGTCGCCTTTGAAACAGGTTTATGCTTGCTGCCGACTGGACTCTGTTCCTGGCGAGCCTGCAATACGGCCACCTGCGCAACAGCCGAGTGGCATCGAATTCCAAACCATCACCGCCTCCGTCGTCGATGCTTGTGCCTTCCAACATCCTGCAATGCTTCAGGCAGTCCGGTTCAGGCGAGCCAACAAATAGATGCGTATATCCACACACACATGCAGAGATATATGTACACACATATATATATATATATGTATGTATACATATGTGTATATATAGATATATAGAGATATGTGCATATATGCATACATAAGCATGTATACATATACATGTACGTATAGATATACCTATACCTAGACGTATACATAATATGTGTATGTATGTAATACACAAACACATAACTGTACGTATACATATAATCGCTACTTCTACATGTAGATCTACCTGTACATACATATTATATATATATGTATACGTATACGTAAAGGTATATGTATAGGAACATGTATATGTATATACATGTATATATCCCTCTCTCTCTCTCTCTGTCTGGGCAGGGGTGCCTCACTCGACCACTCATTTTCTTTAAGCAGGGCGGAAGCTTCGAGGATGCTGTTCGTGCTTGCTGCCCAAGCGGCAGATATTCGGCTTTTTCATCCTGCACTATGTGCACCTTGTGCCCGTGAAAGAAGACGGCACTGTAGGCAATGGCCGCTGCCAACAGGTTGTCGGAAACTATCTTCTTCTGCTGCTGGCTTTCCTGTGCCGGCGTGGAGAGGTGCTCTTCAAACTTACAGCGTGACGTGACCTTGCCCTTCGCTGCCAACCCTGTGCTGGCCATTTTGCACTGCTGAGGCCGATCAATTCCAAAGGTTTGACACAAAGTCAACTTGATCCAGCTTCTGTGAGGAATGACTGCTGACATGCACAAGACACCTCATGGTACAGGCCTTGTTGAGCCGTACCTTCAGGTCCGCATCCTGCAGGATTCACAGTTTGGAGATTGGGGCAGCAGCTAGGAGGTGTCTCTTATTCCCCGGACAGTGGGGTAGTACAGGGATTTGGCTGCTGGCTCTGCGCCCGACTAGCTGTTCAGCCATGGTCTTCTAGTACGAATGCTGCTTGCATTTCGAGCCCGAGTTGGCTTACTTCTTCCTGTCCGAGCCTCTGCTCCTGCTCTTTCTACCTCCCTGTTCACTTCCGATTTCGCATCTTCCGTCCACTCTCGTTTTCCGCCTTATCACCTTGCCAATCTTAACAACGGACAATTGAAGTGTGTGGCTACCTCGGCATGAGCGACATGGACTTGCTTGCCACGAAGCTTCGAGACGTTCAGAACTGGCCAAGGTTTCGAACTGAGGCGTTCATGTTCTTGACAGCTAAACACTCTTAGATATAAGGAAACACACAGATTCATTTCTTGGTGACACTGCTATCAAGGCATAGCTGGAACTCCAAACTGGCGAGTGCTCAGACTCAAGCTTTTTCACTTCAGACGACCTCGCTCAAGCCACCAGCACCGTCACGTCATGCCGGCAAAAATACAGAGTGGCAACTTCACCTATTAACACTGCAGGGTGTTCTGTAAGCAAAGCCCAGAAAAAGGTGGCTTCATCACCTCATCATGGCACAGGTAGCGGTCTCAGGCAAAACAGGAAGCTGTCTCCAGGCAAAACCGAAACAGCACCAGAAGAGGTTGTTCATCTCGGCTGGAAGATGACAGAGCCCCATCTAGTCAAGGCTAAAACTGGCAACGATGCTTAGAGGAAACTGCCAGAATTTTCCTGCACACGAAACAAAAGCCCTGCACTCCCCAACACCTTCCTCGTCTGTCTCGCCATCCTCCATTAGGGGCTCGAGGAGGCTGGCCCGCACGGTCACCTTCTTGTGCCCATCTACTTTGGCCCAGGACACACAGCGCCGATTCGGAGCCAAGACTATGTTCTGCTTCACGATGAGGTAGATCAGGAAGCTAGGGATCAGAAGGCCGTAAGCGACGGCAGAGCCATAGCCCAAACTAATCGCCTCAAGGGCAACGAGCTCCTTCCCAACGATGCCACTACTCTTCAGATCAGTTCAATCAATTGCCTCAGGACCCGACCCACCGGGCTTGGTCACTCGTAGAATCCGAGCACCTGTAGAAGCAGCATCCCAAAGACTGCAAGGATTGAAGAAGCTTTAAAGAGCTTCTGGCCTCAGATCGGGTAAAGCAAAGCGGTATGCATATTCGCGCAGTTCTTCTCCACCTTGAGCTGTCGAATGTCTCTGGTAAACACAAGAAAACATGCAAACCTACGCCTTGCCTGCATCAATTTCCTGACAGCGCAGGAGCTTCTCACAGCTCGACGCGCCACCAATGAATAAAAACAACAGCACCTTCAATGCCAAATCGACGCCGAGCCCTGGCAGATGCAGGCCAATGTTCCGACTGAGGCACCAAGGCTTCTATATGACACGTTTAATGAGCGGGTAGACTTATGCCGAGAGAAAGCTACTGTATCATGCTGTGTGCCCCGGAACAACTCAACCTTGCTTGTCGAACCTTCTTAGATGGCACATCTATCGCACTAACGTCTGCCTCGGCCACTCCAGCAAGCTCCTCCACTCCAATCCAAGACTTCCACGAGAAGGCAAAGCATCAGCAACAGCAATGGCAGGCTCGGAGATGCAAAGGCGCCGAAGCTGACTGTCAGCCTCCATCACGCAAGTTGCTGTCGTCTGTATAATATTTCGCAGGGGCATTCTGGAGCCGTGGCGTACTATATGTTGAGGTATACCAATACAAAACTGTTACTTCCCAAGCACTGTCGCGAATTGAAATTACACGCACAACTGCCCGAACTTGGCAAAATCGAAACTCAGAATGACCCGGTCCTGCCGAGCATACACTGAATGCTCATCGCGTCAGCGATGCTAGCTGCTGTCAGCTCGAACAAATTGGCCAGGTCCTCCTCCGGCATGAAAGCACGGCATCATGTCTGGGAGACTTGGATTGAGATAGACACTGAAACAGAAAAGAGAGAAACTGAAAGAGCAACAGAATGACAAAGAGAAACAGGCACACAGAGAGAAGAAGAAAGGGAAACAAATAAATAAGAATAGCTACAAAGAAAGAAAAAGAAAAGAGAGAAACCGACAGAGAAAGGGAAACAGACACAAGGAAAAGAAAGATCAAGAGAAGCAAAGGACATCAAACAGAGTCAGATGAGTGGAAAGATCAAGATACCAGAATGGAGGTCCGCCCTGTTGATGTTGGATTTGGGTCCGGGTTGGGAGTGAACCCCAAACCCTAAGCTAAATTCCCACACCCAGCATGGATAGCCTAGGCCTACGTCCTAAACTCTATATCCAACACGGAACCTACCCTACAATCAGTCTGCCATGATTAAGTTTGTGAATCTGTGATGGAAGCTACTCTGCAGAACGTGCTCGGGCATACTAGACTTGCTTGACTCGTGCTCGTGTGACTGCTCAGGAAAAGTAAGGCAAGTGATGCACCTGCTGCTCGAGCTGCTCATCCGCCTCATGCTTGGTAAGGGCAGCAAGGACTGCCCAGAGCTGCACGAACTGCAACAGGACGGGGCCCTGCCCAAGCAGCAACGGAATCAAGGCCTTGGATGTGCCGACAGAGGCGCAAGTGGCGCTCACAAGAACTGCGAAGAGTGCTGCTGCCGCGATGCATCCATCGGTTTGGGGTCCCGTGCGTCCAGTAGCAGCTTGGAGCGGTTCCTGCTTCGCTGCACATGTCATGCTTGGCAAAATACTCTCATGACCCACGACTGCTAAGCCGTGGCTCCTCCATGCAGCATAGAGACCTGCTGCAACCAACGCAACCAGCAGCGCAGCTCCAGCAAGCCACCGACGGACATGCTCAGCGTTTTCCTTGCACCTGCCGCAATCTTGCTTTGGGCAGCAGCAGCAGCAGCAGGGCAAAGAAGGGATTCGACTAAAAGTCCACACATTTTGGTCGACCTCTTGCAGCGGCCAGCACTGCTTCGGAAACCATCCGCGCACATACTGCAAAGAACACCTTCGTAGCCTCGGCACCACAGCCTTGCAAAAAGGAAAAAGGAGCTCCAGCCAAGCTGCCTTCGGCGCATCCGATCTCTTTCGATTTGCTCGTGCTGTTCGCCGTGTTGCAACGCTTTTTCGCCGGAAAGAAGCACCTTTGAGCACAGTGATCACAAGTGGGCACTGCGACGAAGACAAGCTTGCTGAGGTCGGCGCTTGTGACCCTTCAGGTCCGTGCTCTTTAGGCGTGCATACCCTGGGGAAGGACTGCAAAATTGGTCGGTCAAGAAGAGATCTGGAGTAACTTGGAACATCGTGTCCTTCAAATTGTAGCACTGAATCCGCTCTCTGTTGATCTTGGTCGGCGTGTCCCCGCGAATCTGTGTCAACAGCTGCAAGGTTTGGTTGTCCACCTGCGACTCCGTAACAAGAGCTCCTCTCAGGTCAATCCTGACCTTCCGGTGAAGGGCTTTTTCGAGGACACGAGGTTCGAAGGATACATTGGGATTCTCCGCAAGGGAGAGCAGCCCCCCGGCAACTAGTCCTTCCACAGAGTTGATCCGATTCTCGGACAGGTCCAGTGTCTGGAGAGACACGGTCAAGTCATAATCAGCAAGGGAAGGTATTGTGCCTGTCAGGTTTGACCGAGCGGCTGTCAGCTTCACAAGGTGTTGTGAATGAGCAAGAGGCCAGAGCAGATCCTCCACGGGACAGCTCAGCGGGCATCCAGAGACCTGAGATCAAGCTGGAAAGGCCAATGAAGACTCCTTATCAAGATCGGCCTCCTATATGGCAGGCTAGTGACATCTAGTACAGTCAGGGCCAGAAGGATGCCTTCGGATGATAGAATGGTCTGTTCATCCTCTGCTGTCGGCAGGAAACGGACAGGTGTGTCCTGAGCACTCAGGCACGACAGAGTCCGGAACTCACATGCGGATCCAAACATACCTTACAACTTAGGCACGGACTGCCAAGTCCAGGACGCTGAGCTGTCTGAGCTCTCCCACCCATTTGGAAGTCAGACGGCCGCTCACCATTGTTCGTCTCAGCAAGGCGGCTTCTAGATCTTTCCACTGCAAAAGATCCTCGATGGCTCCCGTGGTCTTCGTTTTGGAGAGATCCAAGAACAGCAATCCGTGAAGATTAGCCAGGGCGTTCAGCTCCCCGCTAATCTGTGTCTCTGCGAGCATGACTTCAGTCATATCTTCAAAGTTCTTCAGAGCTTCCAGGCCGCCGCTAACTGCTGTCCTGGACATGTCCAGCTCTTTCAGTTCCCTCAGATCTGTCAGGGCCTCCAGTTTCCCATGAACCTGCGTCTGGAATAGCTTCAGAAACTTCAGTTGCGTCAGGTTCTTCAAAGCATCTAGATCTCCTGTGACCAGAGTGTTCGGCAGATCCAGCTGAATGAGCTGCGTGAGGGAGCTCAAGTTCCCGATACTGCCCGACAGTTGCCGGTTCTCACCGAGCCAAAGACGTTTGAGTCTGGTCAACTTGCCAAGCTCCGCAGAGAGCTCGCCAGTCAAGTTATTATCCACAAGCTGGATTTGTTTCACGCACCGTGCATTTTTTTCGCATTTGACTCCGTTCCATGTGCAATGATCGTCTCCACGCAAACTATCGTCGGCAACACCCAGCTTCTGCAGCGCCACTTTCAGATTGTCGCCTTCTTCTTCACCTTGGCTTACGTCTTGCTCTGGTTATCCCCATGCAATTCCAGGCTGACTTCTGCCGAGCTACAGTCGTTGACGCTCGCGAGCATGCTGGACGCTACCTGCTTCGGGCGAATACCGAAAGTCCCCAAATCCGCCACTTGTCCAAATGTGCCATGGCAGCCGAAGCTCGTGCCTGATCCTGAGAACTGTGCAGCAACCTCCCATCATAGAGGTCCTACCAGATGAGCCAACACAATCGCAACATCTTCGGAGAATGAGCAAGGTCCTCGGCAGGGCGCCGGGCAGTTCCCAGCACCAGGCACAGGGTGAGCCACACGGATGCCATGTGGCCATATGGCAGAGACCATGCACAAATCCTGAAGCAGCCCACACGTGGGGCTGGGCCCAAGGTTGCCAAGAGCCTGTGTTGAGGCGGCGTCTTTGAACTATGACCCGGACACGAATCAGGAAGAGGATTTGGCAAATCTGCGGAGCCAAAAGGCCTCAAACGCAACAACATTTGCACTGCCCATGCTCAAGGCGAAGGATCCAGATTTTTGTGCTTTCTGATAGAGCGAACCCTGGACATCACATTCAGACAGGTGCCGGATGTTAGATGTCATCGGTGAATCCAGCCGGTTCTACTGCTGAATCGAACCCAACTCAGCCTTGTCAAGCTGTCACACCGAAGCCCTGCTGCAGAGCGAGACAGCAAGAGCTGCCGGTTTTGATGTTCCACGGCGTACTTTAGATGAGAAGTAAACTTCGTCTCTTTGCAAACGGCATCAGGTGATTAGGTGCCAATACAGGACCTCGAATTGAATTGCAAGAGCCCTGGCAGGACAGGAGCTGCACAAATGGAGAGACTCAGAGCACGCCTTTTTCTGCGCACCGCGTGCCCAGAGTCACCGGAGTCAATGGCTCGCTTCCGGGCATTACCGTCACTAATGTTCTACATGACCTTCAATCCCACTGGCAACTGTCGTGAGAGCGGCAAACCTCTTCTTCTCGATACAAGTTGCAGTGTCTTTCTTGATGTCCAGGGGCGCTCCTGCAATGTCGTTTCCACTTGACCTCACGTGGTACTGCGCAGGAGGCTTGCAAACTCTACCTTCTACAACCTTGAAACACTCCAGTGCCAACTTCTCGATTCTTGAAGCACACAATCCCATCGGAACTACTGGCCCACGGAATTGGACAGCTCAGGTGCTCGCAACATCTGAGTGCAGTTAGCGTGCGGCTTCCGGGGTATCAGCACTGGCGTAGACAGCGCTGTCTACTTCGCTCAGCAGGCTCTGCCTTGGACCCAGGATGAGAACTTCTTCCACATGCCCACCGGCTCTTGAACATGGTGGACCTCCTGAGCCAAGGCACTTGGTGGGCAAGGCCTCTGCAACACTGCCTGTGGTGCCTCCGACAGAGGCACAGAAAGTGATCTCAAGAGCTCACGGCAACGTCGGCTTCCTCCACATCACACAAGCTATCCATTGACTGGTGATCCCCTGGGACTTTGGTTTCACAAAAGTCTGTCACCGCTTCTTCTTCTTCTTCGCATGTTCGCTCTGCCTCCTTGCAAGGCATTTCTGGTTAATTGGAGATGTTGAGGCTTGCTGAATGGCTGTCTGTGAGTTGTGAGACGTGGCAAGCCGATGACATGCCGTCAAGGACGAGGTGTGTGGTCCAGTGTACTTGACAGTGCGGGGTATCGTGCACGATGCTGTATGCTAGCAGCAGCGGAGACCCTTGCAGTATGAGTGAATGCGGCTTGTACAGGTGCAGGGTGGGTTGGCGGGGTCCATGCTGCTGTTAGACTCATGACTCTAGCTCCTGTGCAAGTGCGAGCTCCTGCCAAGGAAAAGCGAATGTCACCACAAGAACACATCTGGCCAGGCGTAGCAGGAACTTGACAAGCAAAACCGAAACGGCGGAAACTTAGATCTAGAAAACCTTCCAAACAGCGCAACGCCCAACCATGGCCAGCGAATCATCAGAAGGTGCTAGAGGCGGCATACACTTGAAACGGCGAGGTAAGCAACAATCAATCCCAACAGCCTGCAACAGTCATGTCCGGTACGTTCCTCTAGCTGCTCACTCCAGCCCTCCAATCAAACCCAGAGGCGTTGCGGAGTCCATTGTGCAGGTCGCGTAGCGCCAACCAAAAACGTGACGAAAGGAATGCAGAACCTCAGACAATGAAGAAAACAAACCGTGCGCAGGACCAAATTCAGCCATATTCAGCCCAAGCAGCATGGAAAGGGCGGCCATGGCCTTGCTGAGTTGAAGCAAACAACAGATGCCTGAAGATTTGTCGCGCTAGGCATCTGAGCCAAAGCAGCTGCCAAGGTCAGAGATGGTGGTTGGCTTTCGTCTATACGTCGACCGTCGACATCCTCTTCACTCCTAGCGAAAAGAGATATACAATGAAATGAAAACTGAAGTTTGTGGCCCCTCGCCTCCCCTCGCCTGCCTCAAGTTATAGTCGTTGCTCCCTCGGATAGATCTAACAAACGGCAAAGTTCGGAGGGAATCGAAGGACAGACGGACAAGGGCAGACAGAAAGGGGGTGCATTGTTCTCATGCTCTGCCATCAACATTTCATGGCAGAGAGGAGGTAGAACAAAAGACAACAAACAGAAGAAGGCGGAGCCCGGAGCTGAGCATCATTAGCAGCAGCAGCAGGAGGAGGAGCAGGAGTAGTAGTTGTAGTAACTGTACATAAGGCCGGGGCCGGGAGTTGCACCTGCTTGTGCATGTTTGACGCTTCCTCACTTCGCACAATTCTTGGCTCAAGTGTACACGGTTGCATAGTCGCAGTCAGCTTCCAAGTGGCTGGGCTCTCTGGTTCTGGAGCTGGAGTCTGCGCTGGCGGAGCCGGGGAGCTCACCCAAGACCACGGCGAAAACAGAGCTTCAGTGGCCGTCCCTTACGGATGTTTGTGACGTCGTGCAGGGGTTGAAGACGGGGGCTTCTGCCTTGGATTGTGGCCTTTCGACACACGACCAAAGGTGCACGGTACTTGCTGTCACAATCACACTCCTCGGAAATGGAGCATACATTGGCTCGGAAACTTCATCTAAAGCTAAAGCGAGTGCAGGCTCGAGACCGATGGCAAACAAACACTGTGAGGGCAAGATGAGAAGGACGACGTTCAAAGGAGACTCAAGCGTGCTCGAAATCGCTTGAACTTGAGCATCAACTTCTATGCCTCTATGCACATGTGAGGATGGCCCAATGCTGTCTTGCAGTGGCGATACTTTTGTGCCTCTGGGGATTCAGATGCTTGTGGGTTGTACATCAAGTAACTCGCTCCATTCCACCCGGCTTGGCCCAAGGAGTCTAGCGAGGTCAGGTGACATGTTTCCTTACTGACCCCAGCGGGATCTGCTCTCAAGTTTGCCTATGTGTGCGGTTGCGCTCCAAAACCCACTTGTAATTTGTCAAGTATCGGGACGGGCAAATGAAATCGGAACAGCGCGGCAAACCAACTTGGGTTGCGAGTTGCGACTACTGTCCCGCGCACGATTGACTAAATTCAGCCCGAACCTGATACGTTCACGCGAATTGCTTTTCACGCAAGAGGTGCAGCCGTCTGGGCGCTATGTAGGCCCAACCCATCTGCAGCCAGGATCAGATGAGCAGTCGTCTTTTCCAAAGTTTACACATCCCTTCTTGCCGTCATTCAGGCAGTCAAAGCCTATCCAATCGCAACCCTCCTCAACACAGGTGTCATAGTCCACATACTGCTTGCATTTGTCTCTCGTCCGAGGTTTGGCTCGACAAACGACCTGCCGCTGGCTTTAGCTGCAGTCTGAGGCCACACATGTACTTCGAGGTGTTAAAGTCAACATCTCGCAAGAAACGAACAGCTAGCAGAAGATGGTTTATTCAACTTGCAGAACTGCTACGTACCAAATCGGCTTGAGTTCGGGCATTGCCAAGGCACATGAATCACATTCACGTTGCTCACAAGTGACCAAGTGACGCAGTCAATACTGGCTTCGTCATGTGCCTGATGGGCTGTGGATGTGGAGGCATCCAGCAGGCTCTGCCTGCCGCAATTCCGTCCCTTTGGGCACTTTCTCCAAACCACAAACCCTTGAATCAAGCTTGTCTCCGAAGGAACTAGCTTACAAACCTGACTAGGTATGCAGCACTGCTTGGTTGACCAACAATGGTGTCCAACCATTCGAAGAACATCAAAGAAGCGGAATTTGAACATGGACAAGCCCCGCCGACTCCCCATCTATTTCGTCGCAAGAAAGTTCCTGCACCTCACACAGAAAGACCGCTTGCCGATAGAGGTGTAGGAAGTCAAGGGGCACTGCAGCCCCCGGAATCTCTCCGTTGCCACAAAACTGAGAATCTGCACTCCACAATCCAAGCCCAGTTCTCCTGCTAGGCCTAACGCCCCCAGCAAAGAACAAAGCTCAGCCACGCTGTACTTTCAACAAACATGTGAATGCACCCAACAACACAGATCCAATGGTTCTGTCAATGCCATGCCACAAGCCTAAGTTTATGTGGAGACATTTGACAGCTTCGAAATGCAAACAGTACATGACGACACTTCAACAACAACCAGCAGAAAAGGTCCATGGCGAGTATTTACGGAGTCCTTCACCAGGCTGTCAGCACATTTGGCTCAAGCAAAGAAACCCATTATGGCAATTACCTGTCACAGATCAACATCAGCCGAAGGACTCAGTGTACATGTCCTGCAGCTCCACAGCTTGCCGAGCAAGGCTGCCTGCATCGCCGCCTGTGACTGCATAGCTACAAACGACTTAAGCATTTCAAGGTTTCAGTTTAGGGGCTCAGGGTTGAAGACTGCTGAAGGGGCAAGATAGGTGATTTTCCAACAACCTGCTGTTTCATCATCGGAACAATGCACAATGTCTCTCTTCATACCGGCTTGTAATACAGCAAAATTCAAACTCCGGCAACAAAAAGCGTTTTGCAAACGGCAAAAAGTTGCAGTTGTTACCTGCCCCTGTTGAGAAAACATGGGCAAAATGCAGCACCTGCAACGGCAGGCTCGTTCTGACATTTAAAAGCCAAACTTTGAGTAAGAAGCATGCAAGCATTCGAATGTTCTGAATTGAAAGTTAGCTGAGCAAAATCATGAAGCCTTGAGGCGTCCAGTCTGCAGGTCTCGCGGCACTCGCCAAACATATCATCACAGCCATGTGAAACCTCCAAGTGGATGAGCGATCAACCGGACACTCGCGCCTTGCAAGCAACGTGCCAAACTCAAGCCGAGCAACATGGAAACGGCCGCTACGGCTTGAATGCCATCGCATCAGATGTATCTCACAAACTGGTGCTGTCTTGAGATGGATCAGCGGCATCAAAGACAGCGAAACGGATCGGACTGTGCTTCAGGTTGATGAGAACGGACAGAAGTTGTTAATGCCTCTTCCAGGACCCAAACTGAGACTGGTTTCCTACGGCAACAATACGCAATATAGCACTCTGTGCATCTGCAACGATAACCACAAGGGCTTTGTACGACTTATGCATCTTGTTTGCACATGGAGGCAAAGCAACATGCTCCAAAACATAGCAAGAAAACGCATCAAGGGTTGTTGCCGCTTGAAACGGTTCATTCGACAACACAGAGACGTCTGCTCTAGAGTCGTGCGCTACGACCCGTCCAAAGCAATTTGGTGCTGTTTGTTTTCAAACCCCCGCAAATCGGCTCCAGTAAATTTGAAACCATGCAATTGTCGGCTCAGTTCAAAGAAATCAGCCATTGGACGGGTCAGACTTTGGTGAACACTGCTACATTCTCTTTCAACAATGTTTGGGATTGTCCTTTCTTTATGTGTTTTTGTGTTTCTTGGATTGTGCTATAAATTTAATTTTGTAGGATCTTTGGCAGACTGTGTCTTCCATGCTGCTACATTAGTTGTCCGAACTTTCTCTGACTCAGCTGAAGCTTTTGAAAAGCAGCAGAGCAAACCTCATGCCAACCATTCCGAAGATGTACAATGAGCTGCGCCAATTTTCGCCAGCAGACGCGTTGAAAACTTCGAAAGAGCAGCAGCATCCAGAAGCATGCAGCAAAACAAAAAACAACTAGGTCTTAAAATTCTTTCATTGTTGTTTCTGAGCAGTTCTAACACTCACAGGCGAAGGTACAAGTACACAGCAACTGTGAACACACTGCACATGCTGGCGCAACACTCTTTTTCTCTGGTGACATTGGGAATCCACGATCCTCAGCGGTCAAACACCACCATACGGCAGTGACTAACCTAGTGCCATACGGCAGTGACTAACCTAGTGCACTAGGGATGGCGGGACGATCCTCAGCGGTCAAACACCACCATACGGCAGTGACTAACCTAGTGCACTAGGGATGGCGGGACAGGCTAACCCCATCCGCAACGGCCTACGGTGCATCAGCACAGCTGCTGATCTCAAGAAGAGTGGCTTCAAGAGTTTGTGTCATTAACAAGGCTGGCAACGTGCAAGCTGCAAAGCCCAGGGCCCCAGCAGGAAGCTGAGCTGAAGAGCGGCACAAGAGCCAAAATCTGTTTGCGAATGTGCCCAAGTTGGGTGGGTGGGCGGGAAAATTTTTCTTCTGAGCCACTGTGGCTCACACTGCACGGAGATGTATTCTGCTGCACCAAGTCTCATCAGAAACAAAACTCCCCCGAGTTTTTCAAATCAAGAATTTTAAAACGCTATCAACAAGTTGACCGCCAGCTTAAAATTCTTTCATTGTTGTTTCTGAGCAGTTCTAACACTCACAGGCGAAGGTACAAGTACACAGCAACTGTGAACACACTGCACATGCTGGCGCAACACTCTTTTTCTCTGGTGACATTGGGAATCCACGATCCTCAGCGGTCAAACACCACCATACGGCAGTGACTAACCTAGTGCACTAGGGATGGCGGGACAGGCTAACCCCAACTTAACCGCTAAGCGAGGATTTCACTAAGGGCACTCCCCACATCCGAAGACCTCATCTTCCTGCTGCCAACACGAAGTGTGTCCACCTTTTCGCGAGAAAGGAGGTCAGCAGGGTTCGATGGGCTTGGTACCCTCGCCACCCACACGTTGGCACTGATCATGTCTTCAATCGTAAGGAATAGTGCGGCTTGAGTTTTTGCGAATAAGTTCCGCCCTCGACCAGAGATGCACAGGTCTCTCACGCTGTTGTTATCAACATAAGCGACAAGAGGTCTTCCCTTCATTGCATCTTTCCAAGCTACCAGTGCGACTACATATGCCAAAAGTTCTGCTTCGAAAATGATGGTCTTCTTGTCATCAAGTCCTAGTTTCCGCATAAGTGTAACACTCAAGAAACATGAAAAGAATCGTAGTGCCTTACCTTCGCAGTCATACAGGATTCCTCCTATGCCGCAACACGGTTTGTCCTCGGTCCTGTCAAATGCCGCATCGGTGAAGAGATACACTGGTTTCTGGCAAGGCCTTGCCAGTATTCGTGGTTTGCACACTTCAAGAATGTTGGCATACATCAGCATGGCATCTTTGCAGGCCGGGCCGATTTCATCTCGGCCATTAACGATATGTTCGGTGACAGCCTGTAAACACAAGCGACTCGCTCGACCGAAAATCTGGTTGTCCGCGAACTGCATGCGACCCCGGAGCTTCTGTGCTGCACTGATTGACATAACTCCCTGGCCTGCTGTTTTCCTCAAGATCTCCTGCAGCTCACTTTTCCGGGTCGACGTGTTGTCCACCTCGACTCTGCCGCTGCAGTAAGGTCGCAAGTCGAAGACAACCCCTAGACACGAAAACGTTTTTCCAAACTTTTCCGCTTTGCTACCATCCTCGGCGAACCGCCAGTCTAACAACCTGAAAAGTCGTGGCACAAACTCTTCCAGGGCTTGGACGTCGTCATCGGGACAGATGATCGGGAAGTCATCGTAATAATTTGCCCATAAGAAACCAAGTGCACAGCCTACATACCAGATGCTATGAGAGACTCTTAAGAACGAGTAGACGGAGCGCGCGGCCCCGAAAGGCAATGCCAGCGTCTGGTATATCACCGGGTCGCCCGACTCTGGGTCGGGGAAGGTAACGAACGAGGCATCAAGGGCGCCCTCACTCAATCCAAGCTGCCTGTATGCCGCTTTCAAGTCATAGCATCTGCCGCTCATGGGTCTCCGGGGCATGCACTCTTGGCACTTCATGCACAACGCTGACACGACCTCTACTCCATGTGGCTTCGGCGACTCGGACGTTTGCACTGCATCGTTCACGGTGCTAGCACTAAGATCGTCCACCAACCTGACCTTTCTACTGTCTCCTACACCTTGCGCGAGGCCAAACCTTTTACTGACCAAAGAACTATGCTTAAGTTGATTTTTCCCAATGGGACCCCTAAGCCAACCCTCTGCGACTTCCTTCATCGATTTGTCCCGGACCTCCTTATCTAGGTGGCCCTGCGATTTCAGGTTGCCAAGCACCTTCTCGCGGCTCGCCACAGCTCTCGCCTTGACCTGCTCAGGAGTAGCGACTGCGGGCTTGAACGACTGGTCAAACACTCCTGTCAGCGGCACCTGACCCAGAAGTTCGGTGCCACGCGCTACTTCCTCCACTACACCTAAGTCCTCGTACCCAAGGGATTCAAGCACTTCCCTCCACACCAGTAGACCTTTGCCGCTTAAGATATTTTTCAAATGCCCCGGCAAATGATTTTTCAACTCTTCCTCTTGGGGGCGTAACTCTTCCGCCCTGCGCTCCCACTTCCTGAACCATTCTTCCCGAAAATCCTTCAGTTCCTCTTTGCTGAGCGACTTATTCAACTCCACAGCTTTTTCAAGGGGTTGCGGGAGATTGACGGGCACCAGTTTTGGATGCCCCGACTTGACGGCCTCACGCACGAATGCTTCGGGTTTGAAGGGAATGCCCCAGGCTATTTCACAACGGTTCCGCAATTCTTCAGCCTGCTCTTTCCCCTTATTAGCCGTGATGGGGGAGACTCGCAGAAGCTGAGCCTCGGCAGGGATAACACGCAAAGTGCAGGAACATTCCAAGGGCACAGTCCATGGCGTTTTGATGCGTTGCATGGCCTCACAAGGCAGGGAGACTGACGACGGTCCGGTCATGACGACAACCTGCGCATGTTCGGGGACTAAAGGAGGGAATCGTGAGGCTTTGGGCTGGTTCCCTATCACAGCTTGGCAGGCTGTTTGCAAGGAGTGGGGTTGTTGCAAGCGGGTTTCCGGGTTCCAACCAAGACTGCAAGCATGGCATGCGAGGGCATGGGCGATGGAGGCAGCTAGCTTGGGCGGGTAGGCAGTCTCCTGATCAGCGGCATGGTGCGCCGCGCAGGCTTTACCTGGGCAGTCTTTTGCCAAGGATGCGAAGCACGGTGACGTGCTGACAATGGTAGTGCGCATCGGCTGGGAGCCACCGAAAGCACATTGGTCAAGGCTGACAGTATGCGCACAAAGATGCTGAATGCGACGGAAGGCAGATGTGTCCCAATAGGAACTGCGCTGAGGGTTTTCAATGGCGCAGAGAACACGTCGGCGCTGACACTCCTCCACAACCTCGCTCAGGAATTCATGCAAGGCTTCATGCGAGGATGCATCGCAAGGGGGCGAAGCGAAGACGGCCACCAGCAGAGGGCTCTGCAGCCAAAATCGACAGAGCTCGCGACCTTCAGGTGTCAACAGGTCAGCAAGAAGTGGCAAAGCGGCAGCCTGAGAATGCACACAGTGGTCTACTGCATGCGCAGCGGTTACTCCAAGCTTCCGAAGGCAGGCCGTAACACGCCCTGTGCCTGAGAACAGCTCGAAGATTACGGGACATGTGGGGATTAAACCAGATTCGAGGCTAGGCTGAGGGGGAGGTTTTAGGGTATGACAAATGAAATCCCCCGTGGCCAACTGCGGCATCTGGAAGCCGAGACTTGTCAGCTCAGCACGCATGGCCTGACCAAAGGCATCGTATCCCTTGACAGTGAACCCTGCAAGAACAACTCGGTGACCCGTCCATGGGCAGGTAGCATGTCTTGCATGAGCATCGAAAAACGCGCAAGTGCGCGAGACTGGAAGCAGCTCACCGCAGCCGGGGTAGGCTGGATCAGGGCAGACCTGAGAACCTGAGGACGATTCGACCCAGAGCTCTCCATGACTAAAGCCAGTCAAACCGATTAGAAAATTGTCTACACCTGCTGCATTGTTCCGATCGGCATGCAGGGGCGCTTGCACATCTGCGAAGAGCATGAGACTGGTAAAAGGGTGATCCTGCACCCACTGCTTGGCATATGAAACCAGCATC